CCCACCCCCACCCCCCACAGGCCGTGTCATTTATAAGCTGTTTTCTAAACCACCAGGGCCACACACCTCCCACTCGGCCCCATCTCTGCCTCCTCCAGCTTGTGCCTGCATCACTGATCACCAAAAGGCACCTCACAGGCCTCCATCTCCAAAAACATCCAAACCGATACATACATGGTTCACACCAAAGGGTTTTCTTTTTTTTTTTAATTTAAGAGCCTAGAGTGCTGAAGCTCCAGAATTTGGAAGGCCACTGTTGGCCGCTTCTGCCAGGTCCAGGGGTGAGCACCTGGCGGCAGGAGCTGGTGTTTATGGGTAAGGCGGAGGAATCCAACTTTCCCACAGATCATTCAGCTGCACGTGTCTAAAAGGCAAGTGTGAGCCCGCGATTCCAGTTTAAAGGTTCAGAGGCCAAACAGCTGCTAGGTGGCCGGTCCCGTTTAGTCACCAGTCTGGCCCATAAGGACACTGTGGAGACCAAGATAATAAAGCAGGCCCGCCCTTCTGGCAAACAGGACAGAGAAAAGGAAAAGGAAAGTCAACAAAGGAAGTGCAATCAGGGAGGGGCAGGCAGGACAGTGCTCCATTCAACAGCTCCTCTCAGCATGGTCTCCCCAGGGTTCCCCTCTTTCCTGCAGAGGCCAAGGTGCCTTCCTCACAGCCAGGGCCTCAGAGCACCCATGCCCAGGGGTCCTGCAGCTCTGGCAGCCCCTTCTCAGGAAGCTGAAGAATCTGAAAATAAGGGTGTGTTGGGTAAGGCTAGAGTTTTCATCCAGAGCAATGGTGTAGATAATTAATAGGCAGATACACAACCCCTGCAGAAAGACAGAAAAGAGGAGATAAAAAAGTGCAAACAATCTTTGCAGAGAGAACAGGGCCCCAAATCACTGCCAGTGGACTTCAGCAGAAGTATCAACCCTGAGGAAACAGTGAAACGGGCCTCTGTCACCCTGAGAAGGCAGCCCGTGTCCAGAAGCCACCTGACCCACACCTTTGGGAGGGGCCTCCCTGCAGGCCCTCCTGAATCCCGTGGATTTCCGGTCCAGCCTGGCCTAGACCAACTTCAAACACAGTCCCTGACAGTGTGCTTTGTCAGCCAACCACATCACTGTTCATTTAAATTGCCACAGTGATATTTTAAAATTAGATTTCTAGGACAACAACGTAAGAATTATGACAGGGCAGAGAAACACACAAAGGATGTTACTAACCAAAGGCTGCCTAGTGTTTTCTTTTTCCTTTAGAAAAGAAGAAATTATTTTATATGTGTACACACACACACACACACACACACACACACACACACACACACAGATTTTTCCCTGATATTCAAAATTCTTTGTGAACCGGCCATGCCTAATTCCACTGAACCCTTTTTTAAAAAGGGAAACAAAAAGAGCGACAAGTGTGTATACTTCCACTAGGGTGGACCAGCTCTGAGCACTCTCACTTTGAGCTTTCACACAGCCATCACACAACACAAGGCCAGAACTTGACCATGCCCAAAAGACCACCAAAGGGTCAGGCATCTAGAACGTCACAGATCCAGGGGAGCAGAACCGCAGAAATCCTAAATATACAGATGGATATCCTTCAGGCTTTTTTTTAGGTTCTTGATAACTTCTGATCACTTTTACTTTTGTCAACAGTTGATTTCAAATGATTATGTTTTAAACCCACGTTTCTACCCTTTGCCCCTTGGCAAGGCAAAAGCCCCTTCGAGGAGAAAGAAGGGGTGACAGTCTAAAGGGGCATCCAGAAGGTGGTAGAGGCGACTCTCCCGCAGTGACATTCTGAGCAGACGTTCAACACACACAAGTGTGCCAGTGTTTCATAAATAATGTTTGTTTTGGTTTCAACACCTCGGACAAGGCAGCTTCCAGATCCTTCACGCCCCAGGTTGCAGCTGACCGACTTTCCACAGGATGACAACATGCTGGAAAGCACGTTTTACCTAAAAAAAAAAAAAAAAAATCAGAGCAAGTCACTGCCTTCCGGCAGAGCCCCACACCCACTCTGAGCCTCCCTAACAGTCTCCATCCTACAGGCCACACTCCCCAACCACAGGACCTTTGAATGTGCTGCTGTCTGGAAGGCACGCTCCACGCCTCGAGGTAACTAACCTCTCCCCTTCCCTCAGCTCCCAGTTCAGGATCCTATCCTAGCTCCCCATGCAGAGCCCCTTGCTTACAACCTCTTTTTTCCTTGTATCCCTCTTTCCTAGCACTTCCACAGGTGTTTACATTGGGTCTCAGCAAAATTTTTCTGTAACAGTCCACTGAGTAAGTATTTTCTATTCAACCCGCTCCTGTGGGGTGAAAGCACATGTGTGTAGGCAGGAAACTAAATAAGTCAGATTCGCTTTGTAGTAAATTTTCATTGCCACACAAATTCCTGTTCATGTAAGCTCACCCGTCATAGATGTAAAACTCAAATAGTCTTCATGTACACAATACCATACCCAAGAACCCCCAGAATGCCAATATTGTTTTTCAGAGAAACAGAAATGCCTCGTGAGATACCCACTTTTAACAAGTAAGCTCAGCATTCGGCAAGGAAGAGGGCTGGCAGAGCTTTATTCAAACTGGTACGGGGATGAGCCCCTGGCCAGTTTCAGGCCCAGGTAGGATACTCTAGAATCCACAGGGGCGCCTGCAGGGGACCAGGTCCCCTCCAACTCCTTCTAGGCCATGGACGTTCATGATATCCACTGCCTCCACACTGACCACACACTAATGCTCTGAACAGCTTCGCTCCTCATCCTCAGAGGATGAGGAAGCATAGGGTGGACAGAAGGGCCTCCAAGCACAACCACTCAAGATGTCACTGCCCTGAGTGTGCTTGGCAGCTGCCATCGGGCATTCATAGGACCCTGAGTACTGGGCCTCCGTTTGGAATAAGCAGGTCAAGTCTGTTTTCTCCTACTCCCAGCCTGGCTTCCAGGGTCCCCTTGCTGCAAACAGCCATCAAATGCCCTTTGTCCCAAAGACAAGATGCCAGGCATGGCCCCCAGCACTGCAGCGGAAATTCCATCAGTTTCTAATTAAATTCCCACAGGAAGCTCTATCCGAAAGAGGGTGGGAGGCAGGCAGTTCTAGAACACATGTCCGCACCCCTACAGGCCACATCTTTTCCAACCCTCAGGAGCAGAGGAACAGAGTCGTCCCTCTTGGGGGAGGCAGGGCTGGCAGGAGCCACATGTTCTCGTGGCACCAAACCTTCGGGCTGCGTGCGTCACAGCTGCCAGGGCCGCCTACCAGAAAAACAGGAGGAAGAGCGACATCTGCCTCGCCTTAAGGGACGCCCAGAGGGTGTCACAAAAGTCTCCTGCAATAAACCAGGGATGCACAGAGGCCCAAAAACATCAGCCGCAATCACATGTGAGGCCGACCAAGCTCAACACACATGCGACTAGGATTCAGATGCCTTCTGGAATGTGGCATCATTTCAAAGCCCCAGGCCTCTCTGCACTCGGTTTAACCATCATTTCTCTCTTTTAATTAGCCTTTTTAAGTACAGAGTAGGAATGTCATTTCTACAGACTTTTTCTCCCCCTACCCCCACATCTGGCCTGACACATTGGAGGTCTTACATCATGGATGATAACATCCTTGTTGCAGGGAGCCTAAAAAGAAGGCTTGCCACAGAAGCCTCACCCGGCCTGCCTTCTCTCCATTTGCTGCCAGGCTAATGTGTGCCAGATCCAAGGCACAGATGTCATTAGAGCTGCACGTGTAACAGTAAGGGCCAGGTCACTGCCTTACGGCCCTGGCACCAAAAACATGATTTTCCCCTTTCACTCACTCATAAAATCACCCAAGGTCACAATCCAGCCGCATCCGATTTAAATGTCTGCTTCCCAGAGGGAACCAAAACATTTAGTTGAGCTATGTCTACTCGGAAAAGACTAGTACCTGTCAACAGGCTATCACAGGCAGACAGACAAGCTCTCAGAAACACTAAACCGAACATGAAATTGGCCCTAAAATTCTTGTTCTTTTCAAACGTATTGATCTGAAAAGTTGTTTGTGATATGTTGTTCAGATGGAAAATGTTCCAAAACAGCTTGTGTGACACGGTCCTGGCTCTGTAAAAAGGAAAATGCCACATACGTACTCACACACACTCTAGTGGTTATCATGAAGTAGTGAGAGTATAGGTAATTTTATTTTCCCTTTTTCTTATCTGTAATTTCTATATCATATGTTACACCTTTAATAAGGACAGCTCTCTGAATGGTCGGTCGTCTTTGAGTCTGAAGACTAGATTGGTCTTGTGTCTAGTGATTCACCTCCAAGTTCACTCACATCCTGATATTATTTTGACCATGAACAGCACAAACTTCTAACATGAGCTATTTGAAGTCCATCCACTTCTTCCCAACAAAGAGGGAGGCAGGCCAGTGCCCAGCAATGATAAGGAAAGCCTATGGGAGGTAGCTGAAGTAGATGAAGTTGCAGAATAAACGCTTAGTCCAAGAAAGAAGGCTGAAAATGAATGAGCTTAATATCCAATACAAGTTAAAAAAACAGAACAGAACACAAAGAAAGCTTAAGGAACAGAAGCAGAAATCAATTGAAATTGATTCTGATAATATAATAAAGAGAATCAAAGAAGCCAAAAGTTAGATCTTTGTGTAGACTAATAAACTTCCAGCAAGATGGATCAAGAAAAAGGAAAAAAGGCAAACATAATATTAAGGATGAAAAGGGAGTATGATTACACACGTTACAAAGATTTAAAAAGATGATAATAACAGAATGCTGTGAACAACTTTAGGACAATACATTTGAAACCTTAGATAAAATGGACAAAATCCCAGGAAAATACAACCCATCAAAACAGACCAAGAAGAAATAAAGACTAGCTAGTCCTGAAACTATTCAAAGAATTGAATATCAATAGTTTTTTTAAATCCTTGCATAAAGAAAGCATCAGGCCAGTCTTGGCACATTCTATTAAACATTCAGGAAACAAATCATTCTAATATGATACAAACGATTTCAAAAAACAGGAAAATAAGGAACACACCCCAATTTGTTTTAGGAAGCTAGTCAAACTTTTACCAAAGCCTGACAAGGATATTACAAAGTAGGAAAATGACAAACCAATCTCAGTCACTAAGAGAAACAAGAAAGTCCTGAACAAAATCATCAGCGAGCTGGATGCAGCAATGTTTATAAAAAGATAACATGACCATGACCAAGCTCATTTTATATCAGGAAGGCAAAGTTGGTTTAGTAGTAGAAAAATCAATGAATATAATTTCACCACCTTAACAGATTAAAGGAAAAACTATGATCTTCTCAATAGAGCTAGAAAAAGCATTCGATAAAATTTGACATTAGCAAACTAGGAGTAGAGGAAAACTTCCTGGAAAAAAAAATTCTGCAAAACCCTATAGCAAACAGTACTCTAAGTGGTCGATACATCATGCCCTAGAAGATCAAAATGACTTAAGAGTCCAAATACGAGGACAAAAAGGAAATAAAAGAGAGAAAATATTGAAGGACTTGGTGAAGGGGTAAGTCTTATTAGTCTCAGATGATATACCTACATAGAAAACCCCCCCAAATCCCCATTTATACTGCCAGGATTATTAAGAGTTTAGCAAGGTTGTGGGATTTTTAAAAATCAATATTCTTAAAAATCAACTGCAGGTCGGCCAAGTGGCTCAGTTGGTTAAGAGCTCGCTTGGGAGCACCAGCTCTGAGCAGCAGGACTGAGGTTTGGATCCCACAGGAGGGCCAGTGACGCTGCACCCTCTACAGCTAAGATGATGAACAACAGCTTGACCTGGAGCTGGGCTGCTGTGAGTCGCAGGCGACGGTGTAGGCTGCAGCGGGGCTGCAGTGGACTGCCGTAAACTACCATGACTGACCAGCAGCCAGCGAGAGCTGCTGTGAGCCACCGTGAGCGGCCAACCAATGACCGGCGACCGATTGCCTCACCCGGGAAGAGCGCAATGATCATGCCAACATGGGCCAGTGAAGCAACATCCTCCACAACTAGACTGAAGAACAAAACAGCAATTTATCTACCTGTCTGTTCCCCTTCCCCGAATACCCAACGCTGTTCCTCTCCCCCAACTCCCCAATAAAATCTTTAAAAAAAAAATCAACTGCATTTTTAGAGATCATGAAAAAAAAACAAAAAGTGACAAAATGTTTTTATAAAAAGATATCAGAGACAAGGTCTCGAATCACAGGACGATGGCTTGTGAAGCTGTCCCCAAAGTGACAACAGAGAGAAGCTGGCAGCCCTGGGAGCAGAAACCAGGCATGGAGGCTGATTCTGCAGACAGGGGGGTTCATTATGGCAGACGGCCTGGGCTGGAAGATTAAGACAAGTGGATTTGCTGGGTCCTACGTTTCTGCCTAGAAATATGTACCTTATCTTCATTATACCAGACACAATATCAATCCAGCAGTCTTTAGATAATAGTACTCAAGAAAGAGCCTATAGATAGAATTTCTGGATGGACTGATTGTTATATTTATGTGTTGAGGGTCTTTTCTTATTTAGTGAGATCTGAGGCTACCACAAAATGGTTCAGTGTATCACAGCTCCGAAGGAGTTATTTTGGTCACCAAATATGGATGAAATTCTATTCAGTGGCTCAGAATCAAAACGGTACCTTGATCCACTTAAAGCCATCAAGTGCTCCTATCATACAACACACCCCAGGCCTGTGAGACACAGCGGAGATGCAGCGAACCCTTTTTATCGTGACTAATGATGAGGACATAGTTTTCTTCACATTACGTTTTATTTCTGTGCATTGAATGCAAGTCGGATAAAAAAAGCTTAGCAATAAAATCAGTACAATCACTAACGTGCTTGTGTGTATGTTATTTTGCAGTATGGATGAATATTACTAATTGTTTTGATTCTTTTCGAAGGATGCTACTCTTTACCAAAAATGCTAATTACAGCTAATGATTTGCTCCTCCATTATACTATGTTTTTTGTCTTCTTTATAAAACTTACATGTGATTCACTCACAAACTCTGTTTGCAATATCGGTAATGTATGTACATATCACAATACAGCCACTTTTTCCAGACATGAGTATAAATAGTATTTTTACCTCAGAACATCAAATACCTGGGAATATATCTAACCAAAATATATAATACATTTTTGGAGAAACTTTTCAAAGTACTGAGAGATATTTTGAAGATATCTAAGAAATGGGAAGTCACTTCATGTTCATACACTGGAAAAGCCAGCATAAAGGGGCTGTTTCTCCCTAAATTGATGGAGAGAGTTCATACAGTTCTAATGAAAATCCCAAGTGTTGTTTTGCTTAACCTGACTACTGATTTATATAGAAAAACCAAGGGCTAAAAACAGCCAAGGCTGAGTACGAGTCAGGAAGGTGCAGAAAACCTGCCTTCCCAGGTATGGAAAGCTGTGTGTGATGGTCAGTCTTATGTGTCAACCTGACTGAGTCACACATGCCCAGGTTTATTTGGCCAAACCTTATTCAGGGCATGCCTGTGGGGCATGAGATTAACAATGACATCACTGGCCTGTAAAGCAGACTGCCGGCCCCCATGTGGGTGGACCTCATCTCATCTGCTCAAGGTCTGAACAGAACAACAGGCTGAGTAAGGGAGGGCTCACTTTCTGGGCCTGGTTTTGAGCTGGGACATTGGTCTTCTTCTGCCCTGACATTAGAACTTAGACCATCGGCTGTCCTGGTTCTCGGGCCTTCAGGCCTGGACCTTTATAATAACTCTCTTTCTATGGATAGATATGCATCCTATTGGTTCTGTTTCTCTGGAGAGCCGGGGCGGGGAGGCGGTGGGGGGGAGGGAAGCTCAGGATTGGGTCCAGCCTGGATTTGCATCTCACCTTTTCGACTAATAACTGGGACCTTGGGCAAGAAACATCCCCTCTCTGGGCCCCCGAGCCCTCATCACTACGTTCACTTCCAGCTCTCACCTGAGAATCCCACATATATGAAGTACATCCCAAAAGGATCCAAAAGCCACTCTACACTCCTGAAGTCACAACACTATTCTGACTTTCCTACAGGCTACCTTGAGGAAATGCACCTGGCTTTGGAGCTCATCAGTGAATTCTATCCAAGAAGCAACCCCGACTCCCACTCCATGCTCTCAGAAATCAATTTAAGATAAATGAAAGAGAAGGTTCCATTTGTGTGCACAGTGTGTGGCAGACAAGGTTGCTTGGACCAGATCCCCGACAGCCAGGGCCTAACACGCTCCTTGTCTGAAATTCAGCCCTCCTTTTCCTCCCATAAGCTGACTTCTCAGCGTTCACATCAACGAAAAGCAGAGACTCACCATTTCTCTGTAAGGATTCCCTGCTGGCTTTTTGGGTGCTGTGTGCTCAAGGAAGAAATCAAAGCAGTTCCCCCCATAAGCAGCACATCCCAAGGTCAAATACATGGCCAAAGAACAAGAATACACGCCTGGCCTCGTGGGGTCTTCAAAGGTGAGCCGCCCCAGCACCCCAAGTCCCGGAGCCCAAGAGGAGCTGCTCTCCCGACCTGTACCTGTATTTAATGTCAAATACTGTGGAATCCTCATCCTCCTCATCCTCTTCATTCAGTGGGGCCATTTCCACTCGCTCAGCCGGCGTGGTGATAATGTCATACTTCCGGGTCTTCTTCAACCTCTTTCCCGACCTGGAAGAGGAAAAGCACGTTCCTGAGAACCCCACAATCCCCACTGAGGCAAGCCACGCTGCCGCCCTAACCTGGGTCCCAGGAGGCCTGGCGAGTCCCCCCACCCAACCGCCCACTCTTCCACGCCCAGCCAGGGGCCTCGGGCAGATGCCTGACCTCACTAACCCTGGTGGTCCTCACACACAAAGCAGAGCTAATTATACCCGCCCTGAGCACTGGAAAACCTAGTAAGCAAGGTAAGTAATACCCAACATTAATGCCAAGAAAATCCACAATGAGCAAAGATCAACTGTTCCTGAAGACAGGGTCCAGCCCTGCGCTTCCACGGGCATGACGCACCACATCCGCTTGCCCTGCGCCCGCTCACCCTCGTCCTGGCCCTGTTGTGTTGGATGGTCGCTGCTCCAAGCACCGCCCTATGGCTGACCAGGTGGGATCTGGGTCAGGGCCTGGCCACTCTCTATCTGTGTGGTCATGGGCAAGTGGTTAGTCTCCATAAGCCTCAGTCTCCTCATAAATAAAATGGGATAAGAATAACATTTGTCCCTCACAGGCAAGGGAGGATTAAACGAGATGATGCATTTAACAAGCCTACACACAGGAGGCTCTCAGCAAAAGTGACTGTTAGCAAAAAAGTAAGCAAATAGAAATGCCTCTCTCATATAAGCAGGACTTGTCAAAATGAGTCAGTATTATATCCATCATGAGGATTTATGAGGATACCTAGTTATATCACTAAACTTTTACCTCTGAAATAATAGAGGGCCACTGTGGGTCACGGGGCAAGTGCTGAGACAAGCCTTGGTCTCCAGCGTCAGTCTCCCTCCATGAAGGATGCGACATTTATCAGGGCATGACTGAATGTCCCCAGTGCTGCCCGGCATGCTATTACTATGGCTACCGGTGCTCTTTGCATTTTCGTCTCCACTGTCTTGAACTCTTCCCCAAATGCCTGTCTTCTCTGGTGTCCCTCCTTTTTAAGTATATTTGATGTTGTCTATGAGAAACCAGCCAACCCCCCAAAAAATCATAAATGGAGCCCTGAAGAATCATATTCTCTAAACATATTCTGAAGAATATGAACAATCATATTTTCCTGAAGACTGTAAGATGAAACGAGGGGAAATCATGTCAAAAACACATATGAGAACCCTTTGTCCTTAGCCCACAGAGACTTTTTAAAAAGTGTGCAAAGCAATGAAAACACAAGCTCACTTTCAAGGTTTCCTAACAGTTTCTTAGCAACATCAGCTTGCTCTTGTCTTATCTAGTATGATTTACCATAAATGTGACTTGTGGAAGTGTCCTTTATGTAGAAAACACACATATTTATCTGTACCTTTGGCACACAGCAACCTGTCCTGTCCTACGTATAGTACCTGCCCCTTGTGGTTCTTTGAGTAGAGACTTTGGGAGATAGGAAGAAATCAGCTATAAAACCTGATGATCCCCAAGTCTCACCACAGAGCAATCTGTCCCCCCTGCTTTCATCACTGGTGTACATGCATACACACACACCACAGGCACTGGTGTGAGACTGCTTGGATTTCGAACACAGGATGAAGCATGGTGCCAACACCAAGCCTAGTGGGAGGAGATAAGAGGGGCACAGCCAGGCACCTCTCAGTGGCCCTGGGACAATGGTATTTTGGAAGCAGACTTTGTGCAGGGATGTAAATGCTAACCTATAGACACCGTTGGTCCCACGTTCTCACCAACAAGAGATTCTTCTTTTCTCTCCACCTACCCCAAAAGAGCAAGATAAATCCTTGCATCCGGCCCTAGGTGATTTATAAGCTCTGACCAAATACCATCTCCAATACTGGATGGGGGACATTTAAGCCCAGAAATGGTTCCAAATGCCACAAGGAACCCCATGCAAAGCCACGAGGAAAACCACCCATCCCCGTGTCCTCAGGCTAGTCAAACTCCCCACCCACGCAGACCCACACACCACACCTTTCTCAGGAAAACAGCCCATATCTACACCCAGACGATTCACAGCTGCTCTGAGGGAGCACCTGGCTTTGCAAAGGAGCGGGACTTGCCCTTCAGCCAACTGTACCATGTGCCGGGCCACCCATCCCCAACACACATGTGAACAAGCGTCTGGGACATCAGAAAGGGAGAAGTCCCTGAACCCAAGCGCTTAGAAGGCACCTTGTGAACGCCCAAAGAGAGAGAAAGACTGAGGCCAAATCTCCTGTGAAGCCAGCCCTCCTTGATAACTACAAAGCTACTCTCTTTTTCAGCAAAGCCCATTTGAGCCAGGTTTTCTGTCACACACAACCTCAAGAAATCTAACTGCCACAGGGTCTTCAAGGGACAGGGGCGGCAGGCACAGCACAGGCTGAAACCACTGCCATGGTAATAAACACCATCTTGGGGTTTTTCCACAGTTTAATAGTAAACCTTCCACATGTAAGTTTCCCACCTCCTCAAACCCTTTAAAACCCTCAGAGTCTCCCTGCTCTATGAACAAAGGACCCAACATATAAAAGTGCCTCAGTGACAATATAAACATTTTTGCTCAGGGAGACCTGTGAACGGGGTTTCCAAGGAGACAAGCACCCTGGTGGCTCCGCTCATAGCCCAGTTCGTGGACACACTGGCCTGAAGAAACAGAAAGCCTGGACGGCCGTCTGAGCCTCTCCAGGGGACAGCGGGTCACCCCTGTGGACAGAGCCCTCACCTCACTCAGAGACACACACAGCTTGCAGGAGAAGCATCTGGTTCTAGAAAAAGCCCAGGTTTAGAGTCAGACTTAGGTTCATAACCCAGTATTTCTATGCACAGGCCTGTTTCCTCAGCTGTAAGTGGGGGTGGAAGGGGGGACAGAGCAGGAGAGCAGCTTTCGAAAACTGTTGGGCACACCACTTCCTGCCAAAGAAGGAGATTCAGGAAACCAAGAGGAGAAAACACACTTCTGGCCCCTCCTCAACAACACGGCCCTCTTGCCGCAGGTTTTCTCTCCTGGAACAAGGTCCCATTAAACCAAGTGACCTCATCAAAGAGATGGCAAGAGGAGGCTTTACATAAACGTCCACGTTGAGCTTCACAGGCAGAGGCAAGACCTGAGAAGCTCTAGAAGGGACCAAGAATCCTTCCACTGGAGCCAAAACACACATTTCTAACATGACAGAGAAGTTCAGAATTCTCTTACTCTGAAATGTAATCCTAAAGCCAGAGGGTTTGTTTACTCCAAGACCCTTTCAACAGCTGGTCAGCAGCAGGTTCCCAGGGGACAGTGGCCACATGGCCTACGCAAACACGGAGGCTGAGAGCGCCAAGCTCAGCTGGTCAATAGGGAGAGAGGCCTTTCTTCCTTGCCCTCCTCACAAGAGAAATGGGGCAAAACAAGCCCAAAAGGGTTAGTTTGCTCTTGTAAGTCCAATTTGGGGGTGTGGTGGCACAGCCATCGGTGGCACGTCCAGAGACTGCACGGTTCAGATCTCAGCTCTGAATTCCTTTGTCTGTGGGCCTCTGGGCAAGTCACTCACCCTTCACCTGAATTTCATGTCCATTTCTACTGCTTGCCAGGTTAGGTGGGGCACTGGTGATAGAGCCCCATGTGCCTCCCTGCCCTACCCGCTCCATGGGGCCACAGCTTTCCCATTTCCCCTGACTAGGCCTCCCCTGGACACCCAGCCAGGCCAGGACTCCCCTTCTTCAACTCCTGTCATCTCCGTCCCCAGGACAGTGCTAGGTGGGACTCTGAGACACATGTGGCCCTCCTGTACCATCGATCCCCCGGGGAACAGTAACAGCAGCCACCATAATGAGGTGACCTCAGTGCCAGGCACGGCGTGCATGGTCTCATCACAGCTTTCAGCCAGTGGGCGTCCCAGAGTCAAGGAAGCGAAACCAGGAGGCACAGGGTCACCTGCCCGGTAAGCGGAACTCAGATCCTGATCTACCAGACTCCCAAGCGCTTCACTCTGTAGCCAGGAGGCGGGAAACTCGCCTCAGACACCTGGTATCCCCACACCCTGGAGCGGGGCACTCGGCAGAAACCCCTCAGCAGTGCACGCACAAGTTCTTTTGGCTGCCAGCCACCTCCCGCTACAACAAAAGTGACCAAGGAGGGATGTGTCAAGAAAAGGAGGGCCCACCGGGCTTCTGACTAGAAAGTTCCAACCTCCATAATGATGTCAAGCTCCCTACATTAATCTACAAGTTTAATGAAACCTCATAAAATACTGACAGATTTTTGTTGGGGAATCTAGATAAGTTGATTCCAAAGTTCAGAGAAGGTGGGAATGGGGGAGGTTGGAAAGGAAGCAAGAATAGCCAGGAAAATTCTGGGAAAGAGGAGTAACGAAGGGAAACGGATCCTAATTCGTGTTTGCCTAAGGCTGGAGGCTGGGCTCAGGGTTTCTTTCTGGGGTGATGAAACTCTTCTAAAATTGATTGGGGTGATGGCGCATAACTCTGTGAATGTACTTAAAAACCATGAATTGGACACTTTAAATGGGTGGATTATATAGTATGTGAATTATATCTGAATATAAAGCTGTTACAAAAATAAGGAAGGGTATATGTTTATATATATGTATGTGTATATATTACATTCATCTCTATACTTATTAAATCTCTCTGGAAAGAATCACAACAAATTGGCCGCATCCAGAGAAGGAAGCCGGTCGCTGAGGGGCAAGGGTTGTTCACTACACGCTCTGGCTGCTCAGGAATTTCAAATCATGTGAACATGTGACCTACTTTTAAAACAAACAAAATTCAAAGTAAGTCATTAGAATAAAGTTTTAAATGGACTAAGTGCCAGTCAGACCCGCCTCTCGGGCAGGAAGCCCATCTCCTGGGCCCCCCTGTTCCACTGAGAGACAGCTCATCACCACCTCCATATGGCTTTGCCACTGCTCATCTGGGGACCTCAGGAGCCAAACGCAGTCCCTCAAACCTTCCCTCCACCTTAGTCGGTTTCATTTCTAAGCCCACTAAGTGGTGCTGTAGCTCAAGACCAGCTTCCTGCCAAAACCACA